GTCGCCATCACCTCGCTCGTCCTCATGAGGCTCCTCAGCGACTGGACCGGGCAGACTGAACGACGCACGTGCGACATGTGTTATGAGCTCCGCATTCTCGGGGGCGTACTCGAATCTGTCGAGGAAATTAAAGTCGTGCATCTCGCTGCTGCGAGTCTTGATGAGCTAAAACTGGGGATATGAGGAGCGGAAAAGGAAGTTAGCTTATTGGATGGCATTTGTCGAGACTGCACCTTTCACATGATGTCGCACTGCCCTGGAGGTATCGCCTTACCTGGATGCGGCGTGGGACTTGGATCGGACCCACATGCGGTAGTTGGCTCGCTCGTACGCGTTGAATTTTGTCTCTAGTAGGGTTTCTGACCTCGATAGGGACACGCTGCCCACCTCGCCATTCGCCTCCGCCTGCTTCTTCGCGTGCACCACTGTGACCGCTTCCGCCATCGCTAGTGCTGCTTCGACTGCTCCTAGCACTGCCACTGGGAGCAGTAGTGCACCACCGACAGTACTACAATGAGACAAACAAGCAGGTGATGGCTTGCATGGACTTGAACTATGACATACACCTGTGAAGAGTCATGTGATTCTTCTGTTTAGGGTAATGGCGAGGTGTCATGTCATGTCGTGTCGCTGGAAGCGGTGTTTGACGGTGGATGTAGTTACCTCTGCTTGAAGCAATGTCCATCTGTTTGGATGCTGGTGTTGCTGGGATGCTTACTACAGACCGTACAACACTCATCTTCCCATCACTATGGTACGCAGGGAAGTGTCGCGTAGGGGGAATCCATGGAGGGGTTGACCGAACCAAACCATGGTGGTCGGGTCACGATACGTACATACGTGTATGCATCTATGGTCACAGTGTTAAAATTATATAAGTTATAATTTAATATAGGCTTTGTAGGTTGTTACTAAACCTTTCTGTAGAGGGTACAATCCCCTCCTTGTACTGCTCTCTCTTCCTAATCCCATCTCTTCTTTCTCGTCAACTTTTCTCCTCACGCTCCTAGATCTACTTTCCTCACGGCATTCCATGGCGGCCTTCCTAGTATCCTAGCTAAGCTAGTGTCCTAACTTTAGGGACCTAGCCTCCTAAGTTTCTGAGATGGTATCAGAGCAGGAGGTCCTCCTGCTGGACCGCCTACTCACGCTTCTCGCGCTGCCATGGCGCTCGTGTCGTGCCGCTGGCCGCATCGTGCCGCGGCCGTCTCGACGCGCTGCTGTGGCGTCGCGCTGTCGTGCCGTCGCTTCCGCCGCGCATTTCTCTTGTCATTGCCTTCCCGCCGTGGCGGCCATGCCGGCCTGTCATGGCGGCTTCGTCGTGCAGCCGTCGCCTCCTCGACGCCCTGCCGTGGTGGCGTCGACGCTTTGCCGTGGCAGCGTCACCTTGCTGCCGTTGCAGCGTCGGCGTGCCGCCACAGCGTCGACGCCGCGCTCTGGCGGCGTCGTCATGTTGCCGCGGCAGCGTCGATGGGCGGCAGCGGGCAGCACGCCGTCGTAACCGCCACCTGCCCGCCCTCCTACCAGTAAGCGCCGCGCCACTTATGGCGCGTCGCTGAAGACTCGCCTCGCCCCCCCCCCCCCCCCCCCTCCCCCCCCCACCTCCCCATCCTTCCCCTGCATTCCCCCCTTCCTTGCTGCAGCCGACGACTGCCTCATGAGGGCCCTCTCCACCGCCGAGGAGACTGGACATGCCGCCGAGAGGGCGGGGGCCGCTGCACCGGCCTCTGACGTTCAAGCCGCCGCCGCCGCCGCTGTTGCCGTGGGCCTGGTGCCGCCGCAAGCCGCCAACGCCGCTGTTGCCGCGGGCCTGGTGCCGCCGCACGCCGCTGCCGCCGCCGCTGTTGTCACTGTCGCCGCTGCCGCCATTGCCATCTCACGGGCCGTGGGAGCTGCCCTCTTCCGGAGTCGTTGCAACTCCTGCTGGGAATGGGGGTGCTGTGCTAGGGGGTGTGGGTGTGGGTGTGGGTGTGGGTGTGTGCGTGGGCATGACCCTACCAAGCCTAGGGGGTGTGTTAAAATTATATAAGTTATAATTTAATATAGGCTTGGTAGGTTGTTACTGAACCTTTCTGTAGAGGGTACAATCCCCTCCTTGTACTGCTCTCTCTTCCTAATCCCATCTCTTCTTTCTCGTCAACTTTTCTCCTCACGCTCCTAGATCTACTTTCCTCACGGCATTCCATGGCGGCCTTCCTAGTATCCTAGCTAAGCTAGTGTCCTAACTTTAGGGACCTAGCCTCCTAAGTTTCTGAGACACAGAACCACGGTGCCATGGCACATCAGACATCCCCTTCTGTATCCTCCGTCTTGGTGCCCGTATCACGCTACATGTCGCATTCTCATAGTGCATAGTCCAAGAATGTTGGAATGAGGCACTTAGCGCATAGGGCGGCACGCCCCAGGCAAATTTGCTTGTAGCGTTCCCAAGAAAGTAGGAGCGCTGTCATATGCGTAGATGGCAGGGGCGGGAACTCTGACGTATCCGCAGCTGGCAGGGGCGGGGACTCTGACGTATCCGCAGCTGGCAGGGGCGGGGACTCCGTCATATCCGCAGCTGGCATGGGCGGGGACGCTGTCGCTAGCTGCGAGAGGGTCCACGTAGGCATGTTGCGTGTTTGCATGGCGTGTCCACTTTGTGTTACATTAATTGATGCGTTTCCATTATAAGAAAACAAGATTTGACTCCAAACCGTTAATTGATTCTACAATAGACAGACTTGAAACTATATGAAGTTGGAAGCAACAAAAAAAAAAACGTAAAACGATCAACACCACCAGCATTTCAAAACTACAGCACGTCAACGAGGAGGAGTACGTGGCAGAACTCCACATGACTCCGTCATCGCAGATGGCGTGTGTCGATTGGCTAGCGTGGTGTTTCTGCGTTAGCCCGTGAGTAGGTGGATCACAACGGTGAGATTTGTTGGTGTTTGTGACACATTGCGCTCGCAACGGGTCGTCGAACACTCAGGAGCGCATTGCCGTGGAACACACGATTTCTAATGGTAGCGACAGATGTTTCACATGGTGACTGCGACGTTTTTATTGGCCGGGTGCGTACATGGGTGTTGCACCTAAGGAATAATTGCAGCTGAGAAAATTTTGCGCTTGTCATCGTTGCACCAATCGCATATGACATGTATTGGGTATGCTTCAGGACTTGCAGCAAGACGAGACGTGGCCTATGCTTTATTTTTTGCTAGCTCTAGCAATGGGTCGCTTTGAAACACTGCCACATAAAATATGACTCAGTCGCAAAGCTACCCTCATTCTCCATGGAAGGCTCTTCATCGTGATTCTCAGCGCAAGCGGGAGAACTTCGAACTGGGGACGGTTTCTTGGCAGGTTCACATTTGCCTCTGCTGGGGCAACGGCACCCACATAGATAGAACACGCCCGCGGCCCGTTTGTAGGAGGAGGGGGTGCAGAAACTAACTATTGCTCGATTGGCAATCAATGCTATAAAGGTTAGGGGGATGGGGCGGTTTGAAAGGCACGAACATCTGGGTTACGCCCCATCGAGCGGGCAAAGACTACGAAGCCCATATTTCCAGTCGAAACGAGGAAAATTGTGATTAAAAATATGGAGTAGGGGGGTGTATTTAGCAGGGTGTGTTCCCCTCTAATGTCAGGAATTTTGACTCAAAGCTATCGACGGTTTAGATCCTGACACGTCAGAAACTTTGATGAGGTGTAACTCTAAAAAACGTCTGTACTTCATGTCATATTTCTTAACATTAGGGGGGAACGCACCCTCAGCCTAGTTCAACCCTTTGCGCTAGCTAGACGGAACTCTCTTGGTCACGCCCTTCCGCCGCCTTAGTTTGTGGTCGTGATTGATTGCCGCACCTTGCAGCAAGCGAAGCATCGCCTGTGGCTAGCACAGCCTCTCGGACAGGCATCTCAATTTCTTTTGCGGCACCTTTCGAAATGGGAGTGTTATTTCACCTTTCCTAACCCGAGGGTCAGGAACGCAATCCGCTCACCTTTACAGCAAGAAACCGCATCGAAGCAATGTAGGCTAAGTTGCCCCTGCAGAGACAGAGTGAAATCTGCTCTGTCGTCCCTTCGAACCAGAAGTCAGATCAACCAGCGATTGCGAGCCGCGAAAGCTTCAGCGTTGCCTTGCGGGGGCGGTTCTCCCGCCCACTCAAGAGGGGAACCCTGGCCTGATGGATATAGAATGACTTCTGTTATACGATATAAGGACAAAGCCCTCAGTGTGGAATGCAAGGCACAACCAAAATTCTTGAAGAAGTTCTTCCACCCCACACATGGTAATGTACTCTATATAAATACTCCTGTCTTGCAAGTTCAATGTAAATCATATTGTAAGGGCACAATACCAACTTCCCCACATATTTTAAACACGACATAGTTCATGAAGTTATATAACATGACACATAGCATTCCTAGTTTACTTGTTTACGTAGAGAAACAAATATGAGTTATTTTTCTCGGAAAAGAATGTGCTTCGCATTAGAGGATGAGGCTAAAATGAAACTGAAACCAGAATGTTTAGATAGTAATGTGTAATACTGATAGTACGTGGTGGGAATGGAGGTGGATTATAATGCGGTTATAACGCATCACTAAGCCGTGTTTTATGCTTTGATTTGGTACTGAAGTACATGGAGCATATCGCAGCAACTTTCCTCGGTACGGGTTTTCTGTGACTGCTGCAGGTAGGAGAATCGGTCTGAGGGTTGCGTTCGGCGTTCGGAGGGATTGTGTGACCACTGCTAAGTGACAGAAACTTCATATTTTTTGCAAAAGGGACCGTACTCGAGATAGCTATAACGCACAGAACCAGTATACTTTTGCCGCAAATCGAGGGTGCAACGGAAACCGAGAACGAGAATTGTCACTTTGGAAACGCCGCTGTGAACCCTGAAATTGCAGATCGGAACCGAACGCGAGCTTGCCTTCCATTCTGTCCCCCAGCCTTCTGCTGGCACCACCTCGAATTGACAAGTTTCACATTCCTGAACTAGCTGTAGAGTTGCCAAATCTGTGGAATCCCACTTTATCAGGACCTGCGAGCCAGAAGCACTTGAGCGTTTTTTCTGCCATGGCAACGGATGGCGGTGACGCCGAGAGCAAGTCCGGCGGGGCTGGAAACTCTAGCACCGACGGATCCTTTGAGATTAAGATAAAGACGCTGGACAACCGCACGTTCGACGTTACCGTGAAGCCCGAGGTGGGGAGAATGCTTTGCATCTCCCGATGCGTGCGCACTTAGGGCTTGCTCTGGCTCCTTCTTTCCAGGTTTCTAATGTCGTCCAGAGTTCTAGATGCGATCAGGTGATGCTCGATTCCCAAACTCTCCACTTGCGACTCTCAGACTCGCGACTCGCGACTCTCGATTCGCGACTCTCGACTCTTAGCGATTGCGTTTGAGCTGCGGTAGGACAAACGCGACGCACTTATGCGCCCCAATTCGCCCTTCAAGTCGCGGCCATCGCGCCCGCTTCTTTGGCTTATCTTCTCCCTTCTCCTCCCTCTCCCCTCTCCTCCCCCCCACCCACAGATGCTCGTGTCGGCTCTCAAGGATCACGTAGCCCCGCTGCTGGGCGTTCCAGCGGCCCCCTCAGCTGGCTGTGCGTCCCCCTAAGACTCGTCTCCCCCCCCCCCAACTGCATGCTCCTTTCTTCTCTCACGGAGCGCGTGGTACCGCTCCCTCCCAGGCGTGCCCGCACCCCCTCAAGCGGGTGTGCGTCCCCCTAAATCGTTTCTTCTCCCCCTCCCCACCCAGATGCTCGTCTCGCCGCTCAAGGAGCGCGGTGCTCCCCAGCTGCACGTGTCGGCGGTTCCCTCGACTGGGTGTGCGTTCGCTCTAAGACTCGTTTCCTCCCTCCCCACTCCCCCCGCCCCTTCCCCCGTTCCCCCTCCCGCGCAGATGCTCGTGTCGGCACTCAAGGAGCGCGTGGCGCCGCTGCTGGGCGTGGCGGCGGGCAGCCAGCGGCTGGTGTGCCGCGGGAAGGTGCTCAAAGACGACCAGAGCGTCGCATCCTACGGTGAGCTGCACGCTCCCATGCCTGCTTAGCGGAGAGGGCTCCTCATTTCAGTCCATGCCTGGCATGCAACGGTGAGAAAGGGCTCAAGGATGACCAGAGCGTGGCATGCAACGGTGAGAAAGGGCTCAAGGATGACCAGAGCGTGGCATGCAACGGTGAGAAAGGGCTCAAGGATGACCAGAGCGTGGCATGCAACGGTGAGAAAGGGCTCAAGGATGACCAGAGCGTTGCATGCAACGGTGAGAATGGGCTCAAGGATGACCAGAGCGCTGCATGCTACAGTGAGCGCTGCGTGTTCATGGCTGTGTGTTCATGGCTGTGTGTTCATGGCTGTGTGTTCATGGCTGGTTACTCTTGGAGATGGCGTTGAACCCACTCCACTCAAAAGGTCGCGGAAGCGGCTCAAGGATGGTCAGAGCGTCGCATGCCACCCTGTGCATATGCGACGTCTCCATGCCTCCATGCCCGGTGAAATCCATGGCCGGCATTTTTACTCGCGTCGTCACGGACAGAGCTTGCTGCTTTGCTGCCCGGCGGCGCACTGCCTGGCGACAGCGCTTCACATGCTGCCCGCCATTTTCTCTGCTCGTGTACCTGCAGGGCTGGAAGCAGGCCACGTGGTGCATCTGGTGTCACGGCTGGGGCGGACAGAGGGCGCTGGTGGGGGAGGGGAGGGAGGTACAGGGCGCTCGAGGACAGGAGAGGGGGCGGGGGGAGGTGGACCAGGGGGAGGTTCCGCTCAATCGCTTGGTCGCATGCAGATAGGTGAGCAGCTGGACTCATGCAGATGGGTCAAGCATTTGGAGTTGTGGATTCTCTCCCTCATCTCCCCCTCCTTTCCGCCCTGACCCCTCTTTCCTCCGCTCCCGTCCACCTTTCTCTTCCCTTCCCCGTGCGTCTCTCAATTTCTCTCGCTTCCTTCTTCTCCCGAGTATGCATCCTTCTTTTCAAAACTGCTTGTGTCCAGAATCCGTGCATCCTCCCCCTCAGCCACCTATCTGTCTGTACCGTGCGTGCATGAATGGATCAACCATGTCCAACCAATCTCTTGCCATCCCACTGTGTCTGTGGTGCTGCAGACGGCATGCCCGGCACGGCCACGCTGCACATGGGGTCGGTGAACATCCAGACGGATGGCTCGTCCAACATGCCAGATCTCAACCAGGTGCGCACAGCTGGCCGTATGTGGGTCCAGGAGAAGCATGGCATGCCCGGTGCAGCTAGTCTCTGCATGGGGTCGGTGAACATTAAGGCCAATGGCTCACCCAACATGGCAGACCTCGACCATGTGTGCACACGCCCACCTCATGAACCATGTGACATGTGACATGTGACACGTGACATGTGACATGTGATATGTGACATGTGACATTTGACATGTGACATGTGACACGTGACATGTGACATGTGACGTGTGACATGTGACATGTGTTGCCGCTGCCAGTCTCATTAGTCAGCCCCGTCTTGTATGTGGGCTGCGGAAAGCGGTGCTGTCAGCCTCGCCATCGCCCCTATCTCCAGTCCTGTCATCCCCCCCCCCCCGTTGAGTGCTGTCTGAGATGGTCGGCTCCTCATCTAAGGCGCCTTATTACTCCGCCTCAACCCCACTTTCCCACACTGTCTACTCCCACCTCCCTCCCTTCCTGCCCTTACACCGCAGATCGTGTCTGGCGTGCTGAGCTCCATCGGGCTGAACCCCTTCGCAGGCAACGCCAGCACCACCATCAACGTGTCCCACCCCACCGCCACAGCAGCAGGGGGGGGTGCTGCAGGCGGGGCAGGGGGGGGAAGGCCGGGAGGAGCAGCAGCAGGAGGGAGTGGAGGCGAGGGGGGTGGGGCAGGGTCAGCAGGGGGTGCGGCTGGGGGAGAAGGAGCGGGTAGGGGTGGAGGAGGAGGGGGAGGAGGGACAGGAGGAGGGAATGGTGAGGGGAGGTCCCAGGGAGGGCCGGAGTTTCAGATCCATGTTGACACCGTGTTCCAAGGGCCCATGCCCATGGGCATGGGCATGCCCGGTATGCCCATGGGTGTGCCCATGGGCATGCCCATGGGTATGGGTATGCCCATGCAAATGCCCATGCCTATGGGCATCCCCATGCCAATGCCGATGGGTGCTGGGAATGCTGCTGCTGCCACTGGTGCTGCCACTGGTACTGCTGCTGGTGCTGCGGGGGTGCCTCGAGGGGGCAACCAGCAGCACACAAGCTGGCATGTTGTCGTGCCGCCCCATGCTCAGGTGGGTTCCGCCTCAAATCCGCCCACTCTTACGTGTTGCCACCGCACCCCCCAAGCTCCTTCTGCCGTCTCTCCCCCTCTCTATCACTGTCGCTGCATCTCTGCCCCTTGCAACAGGCCACGACACACGGGCAGCAGTGCGTGCGTGCCTCACACGTCCTCTTAACTCCAGATTTCTCCCCTCCCCTTTCTGTCAACCACTGCCCTGCCCCCACGTCTCCACTCCAGGCGGCAGGTCATGACACATTGGCGACAGTTGATCTGTACCTCACACGCCTGCACAACTCCCTGCTCCCTGCGGGCTCCTCAGGTACCCGTTCATCCGGTGCCTTGTTTTCTTGCTGTTTGCTTGCCGATGCTGCCTCCAGACTGTTGCTGAATGCCCTTCGAACCACTCTCACCCTCAGCACTCTGCCATCCAGCCGTGCCACCAACCACTTGGCTTCCCCTTGCCCAGTCGCCCAGGATGCACCTGTCACTCCCTCATCGCTCGTCCAGGATGCACCTGTCACTCCCTCATCGCTCGTCCAGGATGCACCTGTCACTCCCTCATCGCTCGTCCAGGATGCACCTCTCACTCCCTCATCGCTCGTCCAGGATGCACCTCTCACTCCCTCATCGCTCGTCCAGGATGCACCTGTCACTCCCTCATCGCTCGTCCAGGATGCACCTGTCACTCCCTCATCAATCACTCTCGTTTGAACAATGCATGCCGCGACCATGCATGCATGCACTCTCTCACCGCACACCAGGCGACCCACAGGCGGAGACAGAGCATGCGCCCCACCCCTCTGCTTCAGTCCGCCACCTCTGATTTCACTCGACTGATTTCACTCGATTGATTTCACTCGACTGATTTCACTCGACTGATTTCACTCGACTGATTTCACTCGACTGATTTCACTCGAAATCCTTTTTTCCATGCCGCCGCCTTACCACACCAGGCGACCCACAGGCGGAGACAGAGAATGCTCGCCGCCAGTCCCTCGCCCCCCTGCCGCGACTAGCCGCCAACATTCGCCGCCTCGAGAGCATCCTCAGAGGGGCCGCCTCGTCGCAGCTGCTGGTACGACCTCTTTTTCTGTCCTTCTGTGCTCATCCTCTCTCCTGCCCTGGGCCATTCTTAAGAATCCTCATTCGCTGATTTTTTAAAAAATGGCTTCAACCTCCTACCTGCTGGTACTGCCTTTTTCCCTCTCCTTTTATGCACCGCCTCCCTCCTGCCCTGGGCCCCTCTCTCTCACCTTTCTGCCTCTTCAGACGTCTCAAAGCTCAGCTGCTGGTACGTCCTCTTTCCTTGGTGATTTTTGAGTCGACTCAAAAATCGTCCGTCGATCCACCTCCTCTCTCCTGCCCTGCCCTGGGCCCCTCTCTCTCTCACCCTTCTGCCGCAACTATTTGCCAAAATTCACCACCCTGGGAGCATCCTCAGAGGCGCTGCCCCCTCGCAGCTGCTGGTACGACCCCTCAGAGTCTCTTCAGCAGCAGCAGCAGAGGCAGCAGCAGCAACTGCCGTGCCGTTGCCGCCCTTGCTGGTATCCCACCTCGCAGGCAGCTTCCCCAGTGAGTCGTGACCCAAGCAAGCTAACGACCCCCTTGCCCTGCTTTCTAAGGGTGGCACATTTTGCCCCTTACACACTCTCCCCCCTTCCCCCTCCTCCATCTACCAGAACCTGGCGTCGCGGCTGGAGGGAGCGGCGTCAGTGAGGGATGCTGCAGAGTGGGCGGCGGTAAGGGAGGTGCTGGAGGGGGTGGGGCACACGCTGCAGCAGACGGGGCCGCTGATGCTGGAGCTGGGGCGGCTGTGCCACTCCGTGCAGCTCGGAAGCACCGCGGTGAGTGGAGGGGATTGTAGAAAGGTGAACGGGCTGGGTTGGGGCGATACAGAGAGGCGGGAATAGTTTGGCCTTGAATCACGAAGGTTTCTTGACCAAGGATTCGACTGCTTTTGGCTCCGCCCAACAAATTTCCCTCTTCATGCCCTCATTGGCCATAGCTCATCTTGATTCCAAGATGCCAAGGATTGGATGTGCCATAGCGCTTTGTGTTCATTACTCGCTCGCTCTCCATTGCGCGCTACCCTCCGGATCCACTCGCACTGCAGCCTGATTGAAATCTTCCACACGTGGTAACGATGCTCCCTACACCGCGTACATCCCGACTTCACAAGCCTTGTAGCAGGCTCCACCAACTGATTCCGGCTATCTCTCGCATCTCTCCTCCATCCCTCCCTGCTCGTACTCTCCCCTTCTTCGCCCCTCCCTCCTCACTCTCGCCCCCATGGCAGGGAGAGGCGAGTCTGCAGCCATCCCACCCAGTCTTCATCAACCAGTTCGGCCCCAACCCCGTGGTCACACAGGTGAGCCCACGGAAGCTCTTTCCTTGGGCTTTCGTGCTTTATACACTCCCGATCGAGTGGTTATGGCCTGGGAAAAAATGTGTTTCGTTGTGGCCATGGCGGGATGAGGCTGTGCGTGGCTTCCCTTCGGCACTGTTCCTGGACGTAGTGTGTAAAACCTCTATCATACAAAAGGTTTCTCTTTGTCATGTGTGAGAACACGTGACGTTTGCTCATGTGGTTGTAACGCGATCATCATGTGGTTGTAACGCGATCATCATGTGGTTATGATGTGGTTGTGATGTGGTTATGATGTGGTTATGATGTGGTTGTGATGTGGTTGCCATGTGGTTATCATGTGTTTACTGTGTGGTTGTGTGGTTGGCATGTGGTTGCCATGTGGTTATCATGTGTTTACTGTGTGGTTATTGCGTGGTTGGCATGTGGTTTCCGTGTAACTGCCGTTTGGTCATCGTTCGTTTCCTTGTGCATTTCAGAGGATCGCTGGCCCTTCGGAGCAGCAAAGGCAGCGACAGCAGCAGCAGCAGCAAGTGGAGGACTACCACATCAACCTGCAGCCAGGTACACACACACTCATGCACACACACCCTGGTGCCCCCTTCCGCCTGCTCCTTTCCACGTTCCTTCACCTTTTCACCTGAATATTTCTCACCTTACCTGTCCCCCCCCGAATCTTCATCTGCCTGCAGGCTTCTTCGGGCCGCGGCCAGTAGCAGCCCGTCCGGGTCGAGGCTCTGCTGCCACTGCTGCCCGCACCACCCGGCGCACGGGCGCTACCAGGACAGGCACTACCTCTGCTGCCGCTGCTGCTGCCGGCACTGCCGCTGCTACTGGAGCTGCTGGTAGCACTGCTGCTGGCACTGCTGCCACAGGGTCCAGGGCAGGTGCAGCAGCGTGGCCAGGTGCTGGGAGTGGTGCTGCTAGTGCAGGGGCAGGTGGAGGAGGAGGAGGAGCAAGCAGAGAGGAGCCTCGTGGGCTGGGGTTGGGGCTGGGGATGGGCTTGCGGGCTCCAGGTGGGGCGAGGGGGAGACAGGGGCAGGCGCAGGGGCAGGGAGAGGGTCAGAGAGAAGGGCAGAGGCAACAGCAGACACCACAGCAGCAGCAGCAGCAAGGGGCTGGGCAGCCTCAGCTACAGCCGGAGCAGGTGCAGCAGCTGCTACAGCTACAGCAGCTGCTGCAGCAGCAGATGAGTCCGGCGCAGATGCAGCAGGCGCAGCGCATGCTGGCCCAGCTGCAGCCGCAGCTGCAGGCGCTGCAGGGTGCAGGGGGGAACAGGGGGGCTGGAGGGGGAGCCGGGACGGGAGCAGGGGCAGGGGGCGGAGGCGGAAGACCCTCACAGCAGGGGCAGCAGGGGCAGCAGCAGGGGCATGTGCACGCGCACGTGCAAGGCACAGGGCATGCGTCTGCATCCCCGCAGGTGGTTCAGTTCCCCGCCATGGTGTCCGTCATGGCCGGCCCCGGCCCCGTGCCCACACTCGTCGTGCAGCCAGGGGGGAGTGCAGGGGGGGTGTGGGAGGTGCTGCTGGGGGCGCTGCTGCTGCAGGGGGGGCTGGCATGGCGCATGGGATGGGGGGCATGGGCGGCATGGGAGGCATGGGAGGCATGCCGTATGGTATGTGGGGCATGGGGCATGGCATGGGGGGCGTTGCACATGGCATGGGGGGCATGGCGCATGGCATGGGGGGGATGTACCAGTACCCGCATCCACACACGTGGGGGTACTGGCAGCAAGGGGAGGAGGAGGAGGAGGAGGAGGATGAGGGCGATGGGGAGGAGGAAGGGGAGCAGCAGGATCCGGAGAGGCAGAGGGAGATGGAGGATGGGCGGGCGCAGCTGCTGGCGACCATGTTCTCCGTGTTTGGAGACACCCTAGAGTCGAGTAAGAGGGGCTGGTGGGGACTTAACTAATGGTTGATAATGGTGTTGATCAGGAATTAGGGTTTAGGGCGCAGCTGCTGGCCACCATGTTCTCTGTGATTGGAGACACTGGAGTCGAGTAAGAGGGTGGGACTGGTAGGGGCTGGATAATAGGGCCTCTGACTCTGCGAGTAGGTGAAATGTTAGAGGATGACTTTTGGCGTTGTGGGGATGACTTTTGGCGTTGTGGGGATGACTTTTGGCGTTGTGGGGATGACTTTTGGCGTTGTGGGGATGAATTTTGGCGTTGTGGGGATGACTTTTGGCGTTGTGGGGATGACTTCTGGCGTTGTGGGGATGACTTCTGGCGTTGTGGGGATGACTTTTCGAGCATATGCTGTGAATTCCTCGGCATTCGCGATCCCCTGTTCCTGTTTCTTATGCATGGTCCACCTCCCCCCTCCCCCTTCGTTTTCCCTCCCCCCTTTCCGCCCCCCTCCCTCCAGTGGTGCCAGAGGAGACGGAGCAGGAGGGGGGCGGGGGGCAGGGAGGCACAGAGGCGGCCCAGCAGCAGGCAGGCAGCAGGGGCGGGCAGGAAGGAGACACGCCCAGGGATGGTGCGCAGGGACAAGGGGAGGGGGCGGCAGGTGGAGGGGTTTCAGGGGAAGGGGCAGCAGGGGAGGGGGCAGCAGGGGAGGGGGCAGCAGGGGAGGGGGCAGCAGGGGAGGGTGGGGAGGACGTGGGGCAGCGGCTGCTGCAGGCCATGGGTCCGCTGCTGCAGCGGCTGTCGGCAGCCATGCAGGGGGGGCAGCAGCAGGGGGGGCAGCAGGGGCCGCAGCAGGGGCAAGGGGCGGGAGGAGTGCAAGCAGAGCAGGGAGAGAGGCAGACAGGGGGACAGGGGGAGGGGGTTGCTCAGCGGCAGGAGGCGAAGGAGGGAGGCAAGGAGCAGGAGGGCGAGGCGATGGATTGCGACGGGAAGAAGGAAGAGGGCAGGGATGCGGGAGATGAGAGAGGGGAGCTGCCCGCTTGGAGCCCGCCTCCCCCACCGCCCTCAGCGCCGCCCCCTGCCTCCCCTCCTCCCTCCTACCCACCTGGAGCCCACCCACCTGGTGACGACAGGAAGGGCAGCAGTGCAGCATCCCAGCAGTGCCCTTGGCGTGATGACAGGGGGCCATTGCCTGCCTACAGCCGCCCTCCGCCCCCTCCCAGCGCCCGCCCCTCGCCCTCCCCCCCTCCTCCTGGCGGGAAGGCAGCGTCCTCAGATGCACAGGTGAGGCGCACCTGCTAGACTTGACTTCTGTGCCCGCCAACCATCCTCTCGACGTATGCTTTGCATGCTTCCACTTCTGTCTTCATTACCTGCTAATAAATTTCTTGTCATCGTGATATTGATTTCAAACTCCCTTTCCCAGGCCTTCTCCATTTCATACCCTGCTTTCATTTGGCTTAGGCACCATCTAATTGCTGCAGTTCCAGCGTCATACACTTTGCTGAACCCCGCAATCTCCTCACATTCTCCGTCCCCGCCCGCACATGCTCTCGCCTTGTCTGAATCATCTCGTCGTTGCGTCAACCTTCGCAGGCTGCTGCAGCTCCCGACGCCGCCCCATCGGCCGCTCCCCCCTCGGGCCCCTCAGCCCCTGTGGGTCTTGGGGGAGGGCTTGGCCTCGCGCCCAAGCCAAAGGTAGGCCCATGTTGATTGGGTTTCGCTTCAGGTCACACTGGCACCTGAGGTTCGCCTGTCTGGTTTCTTGTCTCGCTCCATCCCCTCGTCCATTCTGCCTGGCGTGCCCGCTGCTTGATAGATCTCGCTCACTCTTCATCCGCCCCTCCACCACCATTCCGTTCGGCCTTCATGCCCCCTTGTGACCCGCCAGCGGACCACCAAGACCCCTCAACCAGGCACCAGCAACACCAGCAGCAGCAGCAGCAGCAGCAGCAGCAGCAGCACTGGCCCTTCACCATCAGGCCTAGGCCTGGGGCTGCCAGGGCTGGGAGGCAAACCTAAACCTGCCCGGAGCAGCAAGGCTGCAGGGGGTGCTGGGGGGGAGGGCGTTACTGGGGCAGGCGGAGGGGGAGGGGGAGGCACGAGCTCAGCTGCAATGGGGCTTGGACTGGGAATGGGGTTACCAGGGATGGGCGGAGGGGGAGGGGGAAGGAGGGGAGGGCAGGGGGGAGGGGCCAGCGGGAGGGGAGCAAGTGCTCCAGCACCAGATTTCGAAGCCATGTTTGGAGTACTGGGCTCCCTGGGAAGGGGCGGGGGAGGAATGGGCGCAGTCGGAATGGGAGGTGGAGGACTAGGTGCGATGGGGGGGATGGGGGCGCTGGGTGGGCTGTCAGGGATGCAGGGGGGCGCGCCAGCAGGGCTCGGAGGGCTGGGCTTGGCGCCAGCAGCACGGGCAGCAGCAGCAGGGGGCCCTGGGGGCAATCGTCCAGGCGCCATGGGTGGGGGCAACCCCCTGGGCGCCATGATGCAGCAGGCGCTGGCAGACCCGGCTCTCTCGCAGCTCATGCAGGGCTTTGCTGCTGGCGGCACCGGGCCCCCTGGCGGGCCGCTCGGGGCAGGGGCGAGGGGAGGAGGCACAGGGAGGGGTGGGGGGAGCGGTGTAGGTGGGGGGCTGGACTTGGGCGCGCTGCTGGGAGGGCTGGGCGGTATGGGTGGGCCGGGTGGTGGGGGGAGAGCGGGAGGGCAGGGAGGGGGGATGGGTGCTGGCGGACTTGACTTGGGGGCTCTGTTAGGAGGGCTGGGCGTGCCAGGAGGGGGAATGATGGGTGGAGGCATGGGTGGCATGGGTGGCATGGGTGGCATGGGTGGCATGGGTGGAGGCATGAGTGGTGTCATGGGTGGGGAGGAGGGGGATGATGTGGATTTCGGGCAGCTCATGGCTGACGTCATGCCAATGGTGTCGCAGATGCTGGGCGGCATGGGATTGGGTGGGGGCATGGGCATGGCCGGGGCTGAAGCTGGGCGGAGAAGCACGGGGGGTAGCAGGAGGGTGGAGGAGGTTGAGGGGGAGGATGATTGGAAAGATGCTCTCAGTGAGGTGAGATGGATGCGGTTTGCAATATGCATGGGTGAGTTGCGATCATTTATGGGTGAGTGGAATTGTCGGGCTTTGTGGCATGGTGGGGTGGAGTGATGGGGCGAATGCCATGGCTGGTGGGTATCATTGGGGAGCCATCCTGGGAGGGGGACGCCTTGGGAGTTGGCATGGTCTTTGTGCTCACACTCACCCACGTGTGCCCCTTGGTTCAACCCTCATTAACTCTCCCCCCTCTCTCCCCCGCTCTCTCCCCCCTCTCTCCCCCGCTCTCTCCCCCGCTCTCTCCCCCCTCTCTCCCCCGCTCTCTCCCCCGCTCTCTCCCCCCTCTCTCCCCCGCTCTCTCCCCCGCTCTCTCCCCCCTCTCTCCCCTGCTCTCTGCTGCTGCAGGAGGAGGCAGCAGAGTGGGCGGCAATCATTCAGGAGGACGAGAAGCGCCAGAGAGACATGCCACGCCAGCGCGCCTTCAGCGATGCCTACTGGCGCGGGCAGAGGGGCAAGCGACCTGTGAGGGCTCGTCATTCTTCCCCATCCCACTCGAGCTCTCCCCTTCAATCTGCTTGCTTGTTGGGCTGTCTTGTGGATGTTTCAGGCGCCGCAGGCCAATTCAAGGAGCCTCAGAAACGTGTAACTAAAGCCTCTTACGAGTTCACTCTTTGCTCAGTTGTCATCTCATGTCCTTCACCTACTCCCACTCAAGCTCGTCTCCCCTTTCTCTCGCCCACTTTTCCCCCGTTGCTGCCCTTCCCGTCCTCAGCATACCCGCACCGACACGGCAGCACAGCTGCTGCAGGCAGGGGCCCCTCCCTCTGCCGTGCTTGCTGTGGCCGCTAAAGCTGCTGTCGCTACTGCTGCTGGTGGAGGGGAGGAGGGGCGGGCAGGGGTTAGCATGAGGGGAGCAGCGGAGCGGAGGGAGAGGCAGGAGCGCATGCGAGTGGCTGCGGAAGCTGTAGCGGCAGACGAGACGATTGCTGAGGTAAGATGCAGTGGGAGCAGGTGCCTGACAGCACCCAGGGTTTAGGGATGTGGGTCAAATGGTGTCTCCCATCATGGTGTCTCCCATCATGGTGTCTCACATCATGGTGTCTCACATCATGGTGCCTCACGTCATGGTGTCTCACATCATCGTGTCTCACATCATGGTGTCTCACATCATGGTGTCGGTGCGTTCTGAGCCACTCATCTGACACCTACCGCTTCACCTCTGTGGTTTGTTCCATTGCGTGTCGCCTGTCCTCCTGCCTCGCATGCTGGCGTCCACTACAGGCATACACTGCCCTGCTGGTTGGGGATCTACAGGCCCGCCTATCCTCAGATCCAGATGCCAGGGCTCTTTCGAGCGGGCAATCACTGCTGGGCCAGCAGGAGCACGAGGAGCAGCACCCCTCCCCTTCAACCTCCATGTGAAGCTTCTGTGATTATTCCAAAATTGATTGGAGTAAATCTGTTACTCCTGCTATTTTTTGTAACATTGTGTCTTTGTGGTTACATCAAACCGAACGAACTGAAAGATCTATTCGATGGGCACCAGTAGATACCCAACGTGGTCAAACATTGGGCTTTAACAGATGACTAGGGAAATTGCGTATACCTTGCTACTGATATGCCCATAACGATTTATGAATTGGTGGTTCCCGATTTCACACAGCTCGACCTGCCATTGTCGGAGCAATCGGAGGCGCAACAAGACCCAGACCAAACGCCGCAATCCTCTCGCCGCGCACGCGGCTCACACAACACACTGGCATCAGTCACGATTCACGACTCCCAACGCACTCAAGTGCTACAGAATCTGCACCACTTATCTCTTATGAACGCGACAAGGCCATCCCACACGAGCTATTTCTTTACTTGCTATAGTTCTCCATGTAGGTGTATTATAGTATGCTAGTATGCTGACGTGGTTCGCTTTCCATGGCCGTCCCGCTGAGCGCCACCTTCCTCTGCCTCTCCCTCAACCTCACGCTCTGCCACGTGTACAAGGCCTCGCCGCAGACGTGCACAGCCAGTGACACGTCAGCCGCGCGCACGTTTCCGCCATGGACGGCTGTAGCAGCCACGCGGAGCGGAGACAGCCCCCCCGCGTGCAGCCAGAGGCTGCTGGTCCGCGCAGCCTCCGCCATCTCCGCCATCGCGCGCGACATTGCGCGGGACAGGGGGAGCAGCAGGTGCGCGTGTGGCGTTTTAACATGAGCAGAGGGCGTTGCAGGCGCGAGGGGAGCTTCTGAGAAGGCTCTGACTGCCTGCATTGGGATTGCCATTAGAGTAAAAGGCTTCTCCAGATGCCCGCATTTGCCCGTTTCCCCCACAATCACACAACCCCCCTCCCCCATTCCCCGCCCCCCTCTCTCTCCCCCCTTCCCCGCCTTTTTTCCTGCGTCTCTGTATCTAACTGCTGTCCCGCCCACCCTGTGCTATTGGCCTGCCAGCTGGCTGCATGTAATTGGCCGGGCGCCGTTGTCTTGGTCTGCAGAGTGGAGCGAGCAGCAGCTGCAGGGCAGCCCATGGCGTGCCACGTGTCCCACGCCCTTCCTTAAAACGGGTGAGGAGGGGAGGGTGGAAAGGAGACTGTGTGAGGGAGGGCGGGGAAATGGAGATTTGGAGCAGGAGAGAGAGGAGGGGAGAGACGCGAGACGAGTGAGGGGATAAGATGTGAAGGAGAGGGAGGGTAGGAGAGAGAGGAGGGGAGAGACGCGAGACGAGTGAGGGGATAAGATGTGAAGGAGAGGGCGGGTAGGAGAGAGAGGAGGGGAGAGACGCGAGACGAGTGAGGGGATAAGATGTGAAGGAGAGGGAGGGTAGGAGAGAGAGGAGGGGAGAGACGCGAGACGAGTGAGGGGATAAGATGTGAAGGAGAGGGAGGGTAGGAGAGAGAGGAGGGGAGAGACGCGAGACGAGTGAGGGGATAAGATGTGAAGGAGAGGGAGGGTAGGAGAGAGAGGAGGGGAGAGACGCGAGACGAGTGAGGGGATAAGATGTGAAGGAGAGGGCGGGTAGGAGAGAGAGGAGGGGAGAGACGCGAGACGAGTGAGGGGATAAGATGTGAAGGAGAGGGAGGGTAGGAGAGAGAGGAGGGGAGAGACGCGAGACGAGTGAGGGGATAAGATGTGAAGGAGAGGGCGGGTAGGAGAGAGAGGAGGGGAGAGACGCGAGACGAGTGAGGGGATAAGATGTGAAGGAGAGGGCGGGTAGGAGAGAGAGGAGGGGAGAGATGCGAGACGAGTGAGGGGATAAGATGTGAAGGAGAGGGAGGGTAGGAGAGAGAGGAGGGGAGAGACGCGAGACGAGTGAGGGGATAAGATGTGAAGGAGAGGGCGGGTAGGAGAGAGAGGAGGGGAGAGACGCGAGACGAGTGAGGGGATAAGATGTGAAGGAGAGGGAGGGTAGGAGAGAGAGGAGGGGAGAGACGCGAGACGAGTGAGGGGATAAGATGTGAAGGAGAGGGAGGGTAGGAGAGAGAGGAGGGGAGAGACGCGAGACGAGTGAGGGGATAAGATGTGAAGGAGAGGGAGGGTAGGAGAGAGAGGAGGGGAGAGACGCGAGACGAGTGAGGGGATAAGATGTGAAGGAGAGGGAGGGTAGGAGAGAGAGGAGGGGAGAGACGCGAGACGAGTGAGGGGATAAGATGTGAAGGAGAGGGAGGGTAGGAGAGAGAGGAGGGGAGAGACGCGAGACGAGTGAGGGGATAAGATGTGAAGGAGAGGGCGGGTAGGAGAGAGAGGAGGGGAGAGACGCGAGACGAGTGAGGGGATAAGATGTGAAGGAGAGGGAGGGTAGGAGAGAGAGGAGGGGAGAGACGCGAGACGAGTGAGGGGATAAGATGTGAAGGAGAGGGCGGGTAGGAGAGAGAGGAGGGGAGAGACGCGAGACGAGTGAGGGGATAAGATGTGAAGGAGAGGGCGGGTAGGAGAGAGAGGAGGGGAGAGACGCGAGACGAGTGAGGGGATAAGATGTGAAGGAGAGGGAGGGTAGGAGAGAGAGGAGGGGAGAGACGCGAGACGAGTGAGGGGATAAGATGTGAAGGAGAGGGAGGGTAGGAGAGAGAGGAGGGGAGAGACGCGAGACGAGTGAGGGGATAAGATGTGAAGGAGAGGGAGGGTAGGAGAGAGAGGAGGGGAGAGACGCGAGACGAGTGAGGGGATAAGATGTGAAGGAGAGGGAGGGTAGGAGAGAGAGGAGGGGAGAGACGCGAGACGAGTGAGGGGATAAGATGTGAAGGAGAGGGCGGGTAGGAGAGAGAGGAGGGGAGAGACGCGAGACGAGTGAGGGGATAAGATGTGAAGGAGAGGGAGGGTAGGAGAGAGAGGAGGGGAGAGACGCGAGACGAGTGAGGGGATAAGATGTGAAGGAGAGGGAGGGTAGGAGAGAGAGGAGGGGAGAGACGCGAGACGAGTGAGGGGATAAGATGTGAAGGAGAGGGAGGGTAGGAGAGAGAGGAGGGGAGAGACGCGAGACGAGTGAGGGGATAAGATGTGAAGGAGAGGGAGGGTAGGAGAGAGAGGAGGGGAGAGACGCGAGACGAGTGAGGGGATAAGATGTGAAGGAGAGGGCGGGTAGGAGAGAGAGGAGGGGAGAGACGCGAGACGAGTGAGGGGATAAGATGTGAAGGAGAGGGCGGGTAGGAGAGAGAGGAGGGGAGAGACGCGAGACGAGTGAGGGGATAAGATGTGAAGGAGAGGGAGGGTAGGAGAGAGAGGAGGGGAGAGACGCGAGACGAGTGAGGGGATAAGATGTGAAGGAGAGGGAGGGTAGGAGAGAGAGGAGGGGAGAGACGCGAGACGAGTGAGGGGATAAGATGTGAAGGAGAGGGAGGGTAGGAGAGAGAGGAGGGGAGAGACGCGAGACGAGTGAGGGGATAAGATGTGAAGGAGAGGGAGGGTAGGAGAGAGAGGAGGGGAGAGACGCGAGACGAGTGAGGGGATAAGATGTGAAGGAGAGGGCGGGTAGGAGAGAGAGGAGGGGAGAGACGCGAGACGAGTGAGGGGATAAGATGTGAAGGAGAGGGAGGGTAGGAGAGAGAGGAGGGGAGAGACGCGAGACGAGTGAGGGGATAAGATGTGAAGGAGAGGGCGGGTAGGAGAGAGAGGAGGGGAGAGACGCGAGACGAGTGAGGGGATAAGATGTGAAGGAGAGGGAGGGTAGGAGAGAGAGGAGGGGAGAGACGCGAGACGAGTGAGGGGATAAGATGTGAAGGAGAGGGCGGGTAGGAGAGAGAGGAGGGGAGAGACGCGAGACGAGTGAGGGGATAAGATGTGAAGGAGAGGGAGGGTAGGAGAGAGAGGAGGGGAGAGACGCGAGACGAGTGAGGGGATAAGATGTGAAGGAGAGGGCGGGTAGGAGAGAGAGGAGGGGAGAGACGCGAGACGAGTGAGGGGATAAGATGTGAAGGAGAGGGCGGGTAGGAGAGAGAGGAGGGGAGAGACGCGAGACGAGTGAGGGGATAAGATGTGAAGGAGAGGGAGGGTAGGAGAGAGAGGAGGGGAGAGACGCGAGACGAGTGAGGGGATAAGATGTGAAGGAGAGGGAGGGTAGGAGAGAGAGGAGGGGAGAGACGCGAGACGAGTGAGGGGATAAGATGTGAAGGAGAGGGCGGGTAGGAGAGAGAGGAGGGGAGAGACGCGAGACGAGTGAGGGGATAAGATGTGAAGGAGAGGGAGGGTAGGAGAGAGAGGAGGGGAGAGACGCGAGACGAGTGAGGGGATAAGATGTGAAGGAGAGGGAGGGTAGGAGAGAGAGGAGGGGAGAGACGCGAGACGAGTGAGGGGATAAGATGTGAAGGAGAGGGCGGGTAGGAGAGAGAGGAGGGGAGAGACGCGAGACGAGTGAGGGGATAAGATGTGAAGGAGAGGGCGGGTAGGAGAGAGAGGAGGGGAGAGACGCGAGACGAGTGAGGGGATAAGATGTGAAGGAGAGGGCGGGTAGGAGAGAGAGGAGGGGAGAGACGCGAGACGAGTGAGGGGATAAGATGTGAAGGAGAGGGAGGGTAGGAGAGAGAGGAGGGGAGAGACGCGAGACGAGTGAGGGGATAAGATGTGAAGGAGAGGGAGGGTAGGAGAGAGAGGAGGGGAGAGACGCGAGACGAGTGAGGGGATAAGATGTGAAGGAGAGGGCGGGTAGGAGAGAGAGGAGGGGAGAGACGCGAGACGAGTGAGGGGATAAGATGTGAAGGAGAGGGCGGGTAGGAGAGAGAGGAGGGGAGAGACGCGAGACGAGTGAGGGGATAAGATGTGAAGGAGAGGGAGGGTAGGAGAGAGAGGAGGGGAGAGACGCGAGACGAGTGAGGGGATAAGATGTGAAGGAGAGGGCGGGTAGGAGAGAGAGGAGGGGAGAGACGCGAGACGAGTGAGGGGATAAGATGTGAAGGAGAGGGCGGGTAGGAGAGAGAGGAGGGGAGAGACGCGAGACGAGTGAGGGGATAAGATGTGAAGGAGAGGGCGGGTAGGAGAGAGAGGAGGGGAGAGACGCGAGACGAGTGAGGGGATAAGATGTGAAGGAGAGGGAGGGTAGGAGAGAGAGGAGGGGAGAGACGCGAGACGAGTGAGGGGATAAGATGTGAAGGAGAGGGCGGGTAGGAGAGAGAGGAGGGGAGAGACGCGAGACGAGTGAGGGGATAAGATGTGAAGGAGAGGGCGGGTAGGAGAGAGAGGAGGGGAGAGACGCGAGACGAGTGAGGGGATAAGATGTGAAGGAGAGGGCGGGTAGGAGAGAGAGGAGGGGAGAGACGCGAGACGAGTGAGGGGATAAGATGTGAAGGAGAGGGCGGGTAGGAGAGAGAGGAGGGGAGAGACGCGAGACGAGTGAGGGGATAAGATGTGAAGGAGAGGGCGGGTAGGAGAGAGAGGAGGGGAGAGACGCGAGACGAGTGAGGGGATAAGATGTGAAGGAGAGGGCGGGTAGGAGAGAGAGGAGGGGAGAGACGCGAGACGAGTGAGGGGATAAGATGTGAAGGAGAGGGGGGTAGGAGAGAGAGGAGGGGAGAGACGCGAGACGAGTGAGGGGATAAGATGTGAAGGAGAGGGAGGGTAGGAGAGAGAGGAGGGGAGAGACGCGAGACGAGTGAGGGGATAAGATGTGAAGGAGAGGGCGGGTAGGAGAGAGAGGAGGGGAGAGACGCGAGACGAGTGAGGGGATAAGATGTGAAGGAGAGGGCGGGTAGGAGAGAGAGGAGGGGAGAGACGCGAGACGAGTGAGGGGATAAGATGTGAAGGAGAGGGCGGGTAGGAGAGAGAGGAGGGGAGAGACGCGAGACGAGTGAGGGGATAAGATGTGAAGGAGAGGGAGGGTAGGAGAGAGAGGAGGGGAGAGACGCGAGACGAGTGAGGGGATAAGATGTGAAGGAGAGGGCGGGTAGGAGAGAGAGGAGGGGAGAGACGCGAGACGAGTGAGGGGATAAGATGTGAAGGAGAGGGCGGGTAGGAGAGAGAGGAGGGGAGAGACGCGAGACGAGTGAGGGGATAAGATGTGAAGGAGAGGGAGGGTAGGAGAGAGAGGAGGGGAGAGACGCGAGACGAGTGAGGGGATAAGATGTGAAGGAGAGGGCGG